GCTTAAAATATCATTCTGCACATCGAGTAGTCAGATAGACGTTCACAAGCATCGATCATTCGACAAATAACGCATGAAGAATGCGGAAGGCGGCTGGGAAAACCGCCTTCACACAATTTGCGAGGGAAATCTCACTATACATAAATAGGGCAATTCACGTGACGACGCGATAGGATCCTCTATTGAAGATTTATGATCATTGCGCACACATGACGGTAACAATGTTCGCGAAAATTGGTACAATGGGTGCTGTCAGGATGCTCCATTAATATTGCATGCAGAGGCGGCTTCCCTGAGAGGTGCGGTGCACCAGGGCGCCGGGTGATAGGAGGTGCAAAGAGCCACTTGCGACACGGCTGTAACGCTCCGCACGGGCGTACGGCACGCAGTAAGCGCCTTCCATATGAAACGGTGTTGGTGTGTATCGATACTCTTCACCCGGAGGAAACATCATCTCTAACGGATAAGAGATTCCGTGGACCAACGAAGCAAGATACCTGGGAGTCACCCTTGACAGGAATCTGACGTTGAGGTTCCATGTCCGGCACATGCCCAGGAACTTATGCGACTGTATTTCAAGCGGAAATTTACGCTATTGAATTGTGTGCGGGGAGATTGGATAAAGCCAACCTCATACTGTCACCTCACAAACTACAAGAGGAGACTAAATCATCTGTCGGTAACAAATAAGACAGATGGGTATCCGCGGCCAAGCTAAACAGTGGGGACGGGAGTGGATTAACCAACTTAGCAAATTTCAAATATATCTTAATGGGCGCCAGGTAAATTTAATCCTCCAGATACCCTAAGTAACTTACAATATCAATAACTTACCAATTGATATTGGAAATAAAAGATAAAGATCCCCAATATGATTTATTCAGCAATCCTAACTTACATGGATTAACCAACANTATGCAGAATATTTACCGAAATATCAAACAGTATTCAAAAACCCAGAGTTAACTAATATTGTTTTCCAGGCGATATGGCTCTAATATGTAAGTAAACCTTCTGGAAGTGATGCAATAACAATAACAATCTATGCAATAAATATTCTTGGAAAGGTACAGAGAATAAGGCAGACAACGGCTGAAAAATGATAGGTGAAGAAAACTGAGAAACATACAATTACAACTATATCAACCTAGCGAAGAATTTCGGATTTCCAACGTCGAATGCGAAGTGATTGGTAAGTACTGGTCACGGCAGTTAGTCAGGGAGCATACATATATTCTTGTACATTTCAGGCATGGTTTTCTATGGAACGGAAGATTCCCATTACTATGATGTTAAATGAATAAAATTAACTTGTAACTGAATTACATTGTTAACATCCTCTGAATAAAGATCTTAAAAGGTATGGTAGTGTTTTGAAAGGTCACATAGAAGCAGTTTTGATCTAGTGCTAAATTGAAACGTAACAATACAAAAGTGTAATAGAAGGAGCTTTCTTGCTCCTTTCTCATTTATTTATTTTTTTGAATTGAATTTTAGCAGCGCTGTCACCAGATGCAGATTTCTCCGCATCAAATTTTGAATATTAAGGCAGGTCCGAAAAAGCTGTAGGGTTCGTGCCGATCGCACGAAGGCCGGTCTTTTTGAAATCTGATCATTTGGAATACTTACTCTCTCATTATGTGGTTCCAGAACTGAGTTTTAATGTTAGTTAAAATGCTTTTCACTCACTATTGTTTTCTCGATAGATTGACAAAAGGTCTCTCATTTGTTTTTGTTTTCTTAACTTCATCTTACTCTACTGGGATGGTATTTTTCTCAGTCCAAAAGAAAATGAAAGTTCAAAGGTTTCAAATATGAAGTATAATAAGTAGAAAAATGACTCCGTGGACAAAATAAAAACAACGTGTAAAATATTATATGAAAGGAAAATGTTGAATTCTATAAAATGAAAGAATTAGAACAAAGGAAATGCCGCCAATTTTACCATGATATTCACTATTAATCTAACCTATTTAATAATTACAAATGCGCCAACTCGGTACAAAATACTCTTAGTTTCACTTTTACTTCAGGGAGAGTGGTGTATAGCTTCAAATTTTCGCCCTTTTTTGTAATTATATCAACAACTTTATCTAAACAATCAGCGCTAGAAACCCCACAATTTGTAACTTTCTGCAAATAAGAAGTGGACTCAGATAAAATATTATGTGAACTCTCTCTAAATATCAACTGGTTAGTACAAAAAAATAACAAACACTCACATAAGGCCTCTTTGGGTGGTTCATGGTCAACCATCGGTTCCGTTGATCCGGTATGTTTTCAACACCAACACTTTAATTTCGAACTCCCCTGTACCCATTACCGGTTCATAATTCAACTACACGGATTTTTCTTAAATTTCGCACCACCCGCTTACAAACAAAATAACTCCGCCGATTTAGGCCACTTTCCTCGTCTCGAAGGCTGAGGGATGAGACCCCCGGTCTCGTCTCGACGGGGTCCGGTGACCGACCTTTCTCTGTCTTGCAAGAAACTCCCAAGCCCTCGCGTCTGACGGCGCTACCACAAAAACCTCATATCAGCGTTTTTTCAACCTTCCCAAGTGTGTGATCATCGCCAGGGTGCGATATATTTATTTGTTCAGTCTGAGTAAATTTTAACATGACCACAACGAAGCTCGAAGGTCCGACAGTCATAAAGTAATTCAGCGCTTTTTCAAATGGAAAAATATCGACACCGAAGAAACAGGTGATCGACCTCGATCTCAATGAATAAAATAATGTTTAATGTTACTCTCGCAATGGCCGTTATTACACAGGTCAATAAAAATATTCTCGGACAGTCAAGCGGCTTTGGAAGCTCTTGGTTCCTACCGAGCAATGTCTCAATTGGTAGCAAATGACCAAAAACGACTTTCCTCGATAGGAAGACTAAACGGATTGTCTCTGGTCTGAATTCCTGGCCATACTGGCTTGGAAGGCAATGAAACTACTGACTGCCTTGCAAAGGAGGGTGCTGCAAGCAGCTCCATAGGACCAGAACCTGTCATTGGTATCGCTCCAGGCTTTGCCACACAAACATTGAACACCTGGATGGTAAGAAGATGTATTGACTTCTGGCAGAATGTGGCGTACTTACTTGAAAAACGAAATTTCTGCGTCACAACCAAGGCGTGGATTCGAACTCTTGAGATCTGATTGAAAATTCAAGATGTTCTTTAGTAAGCGGAGAGGGCGCCAGCCAATAAATATAATTATATAAATTGANTCAGGTTAATTTCAATATTGTAACTTTTTCAGTGCTTGTGAAAAAAATTGTTATACAAATTTTATGTACCCCCTTTAAAGGGCTGTATCTTAACAAGGGATATGAAAGATCCTATCTTTTTCACGATGAGAAATCACCTCCTCAAATGTTTTACACTCATTTAGTTACACCTTGTATAGTATACTATTAAGTATTGGTCCACCATCGTTATTCATAATATTACTATGTTTACTCATTTCTACACTCTCATAGGCATCTATATGCCTGTTGTTGTTAACTTGTTCAACTAATCCTAATGAACTAAAGTCTATTGAATAGTTTTGTTGAAAAATATGATGAGCGACTGCTGATTTTTCTGATCTTACATATTTTAGGCGTATTGAGTGGTTCTTATATATTTTAATAGATCTTTCAGTCTGTCCATATTATTTTGCATCGCAGTCCTCACATTCGATTACGTAAATTTCAGTCTTTTCCAAATTCTCGACTTCCTCCTTTGGATTTCTGAAAAAGGCTCTGTAGTGTATGACTTGTTTTAAACACCACCTTTCAACTTATTCATAATTTATGATTTATTATTTTCTCAACACTTCTATGTTATTATTAATTCATTATCGACCCTTTTCCCTACCACATAAACTAGAATATCATTGATTTTTACACTTCTCTGGTAATAACCAAGAAAAGTACTTTTCTTGGTTATTCACATTTTGTCTTCCATCGAAGACCGCCTGCCCGGTACTGACGATGCCCAATAGGCTGAAACAGCTGTCTACCGGTGGCTCTTAAATTGAAATCAATATGGGAATGATCAAAGAGTACTTATCTATTTATTTTTTGATTTTCATGGAATTATTTTCCAGCAGCTTGACTGCATTAACCTTTCTAGATTTCATATCATTTCTAGAAACATGTGGATTCGTTTTCCGATGGCATTTCAGGTTAGCTTCCCAAATTTCTGCTACCGCAGTTGTCGGTTGATTGGTCAAACCACCAACACTGACATAAAAACTTGGCAAGTTGACTTGGGTGTCACACCAATAGGTGGTTCCACTTATGTTTCGCTTGCGTTTACGCAGCTATTTTTATCAAGTACTTTCTTGGTTTTTTCTCATTTTGTCTTCAATCGAGGACCGCCTGCCCGGTACTGACGATGGCCAATAGGCTGAAACAGCTGTCTACCGGTGGCTCTTAAATTGAAATCAATATGGGAATGATCAGAATAGTTCAAGTACAGTTTTTGCTGACTAGTTAAGAACAAAACTTGGAAAATATCTTTGGGTGATTAGCAGAACGGAAGTGTACTCTTATAACACAAGTTATTCCAATACTTCGATAAAATTTATTATCATCTTCAAAGAAAACCTATAAAATTTTTATGATGATAGTACAATATTAAAATTATTATAAAAAATCTCAACAGTTAGCGAGGATGGCCATATTAAAAAGAATGTCACTACATTAAAAGAGGATGGCTTCTTACTGAATATAATTCAATATTCTTCTTTATATTAATAAGGGTATATAGTAGTTTGTACCTCACATCACTGTAAACTTTTTATAAAAATATTTATTTTTCAATAAACATATCTATATCAAATTCTATCCCAATTTCGCAACAATCCTTGTGAAAATAAAATCACTGCCTCTCAAACCTTCCTGAGGTCACAAAACATGTAATTTTCGTCCTCTATTGTCAGCTCTTTCGCTACTCCATTGTATTGCATCTGTACCATTGCTCGGATTTATCAACATTATTTCATCTTTTTCAGGTGGATCTCTGCATAGAGCCTGGCCAAAGCTTGGGTCTCATGATAAGAGGGGGCGTGGAATACAATCTGGGGATTTTCATCACCGGAGTCGACAAGGATTCTGTGGCGGACAGAGCTGGTCTTATGGTAAGCTATTTGAATGTCAATGGAATCAATCTGTAAAACGTATTCAAGGGATGAGACGAAGTGTTGCTCGGAATAGTTGAAAGGGATGATTGAATCCACGTATTTTATATCGTGTCATCTGTAAGTTTGAAAAAGAAACCCCATGTCTTGAAATGATCTCCCCAATATTTGAATCATCCCATTTTGAGAAACATGAATGTTCTGTAACTTGTTCCTTCAAAAAATCAATGGTGGGAGGAACTGAAGATATGTTGAAGGAGAGAAATTTTCCAGGAATTTGAAACATATTGCACTTGTCCTGTCATGTGACAGGACAAGACTCTTTATTGAAGAAAATAAATGGAAAAATATGCCTTAGTATCTGGAATGAAGATCTATATTCGATTCTGTAATATTTCAGATAAATTGTTTCGTTGCTGATTTTACTTCAGTTGGAGTCATCAGTTTCTGTTTCTCTCCCATTCATTTCATAATCTAGATTTTAAATTGAGAGCTGAATGCTTTATTATAATAAAATGAAGGAAACGTGAGATAGAAAATAAAAACTTGAGGAATTTAGGGTATTCTCCAAATGGTACTTTTCAGCTTCAGACAAAACTCTGAAAAAAAAACCTATAACACCATTTTGATGCCGGATTTTTTGCTGTCCAAGTGATCCTGATGATAGCGGAGCATATTAAAAAGAGTTCTTTCTATAATTATTGCGTCTTTGACACATTTGATCAATATGTCATTTACAGTAGGTGTTTTATCAAATCATTTAAAAACTGGAAAAATTATACCCATTTTCAAAAAAAAAGGATCCAACATCAATGGAAAATTATCGCCCTATTACAGTT